ATATCCGCGTTTTACCCGATCGGGTAAAACGCGGATATGGTGTAAAATATGCTTTTCGGCCCTTTCAAAGGCATATCCGCGTTTTACCCGATCGTGTAAAACGCGGATATGGTGTAAAATATGCTTTTCGGCCCTTTCAAAGGCATATCCGCGTTTTACCCGATCGGATAAAACGCAGATATGGTGTAAAATATGCTTTTCGGCTCTTTAAAAGGCATATCCGCGTTTTACCCGATCGGGTAAAACGCGGATATGGTGTAAAATATGCTTTTCGGCCCTTTCAAAGGCATATCCGCGTTTTACCCGATCGGGTAAAACGCGGATATGGTGTAAAATATGCTCTTCGGCTCTTTAAAAGGCATATCCGCGTTTTACCCGATCGGGTAAAACGCGGATATGGTGTAAAATATGCTTTTCGGCTCTTTAAAAGGCATATCCAAATATGCAAATTTCCGACCTATTTCAAATTTAAAATTCCTGTCGAAAGTAATTGAGAAGGTTGCTGCCGGTCAGCTTCTGGAACACTTGGCTAATAACAAATTAGAAGAACCCTTCCAGTCGGCATATAAACGTTTTCATAGTGCAGAAACAACCCTATTAAAAGTACAAAACGATATTCTTGTAGCCATTGATAATCGTAAGTGTGTGGCGTTGCTATTACTAGATATGTCAGCAGCATTCGATACTGTTGATCACGAACTTTTACTACAACGAATGTTCAAAAGATTTGGGATAGATGGGCAAGTGTTGAGATGGTTTCAGTCCTATCTTCAGAATTGAACGCAAAGTGTAGTGATTGACGGTGTTAAATCTATCTCTAAAGACTTGCGCTGTGGAGTCCCACAAGGATCAGTTCTCGGCCCTATACTATATTTACTATACACTTCACCCCTTGGTGATATCATCAGAGGTCATGATCTTGATTTTCACTTTTATGCAGACGACTCGCAATTATATCTCGCTTTTGAGTCAACCACTGAAGGAAAAGCGGGAGCACTGGTACAAATCGAAATGTGTGTAAAGGAGATTGATTTGTGGATGGTCAAAAATAAATTAAAATTGAATGGGGACAAGACTGAGTTACTAGTAATCAATGCACGAAATCGTTTATGCCCTGCTGTACACCATATAGAAATATCTAAGTCAATAGTTCAACCAAGTACTTCAGCACGAAACATCGGTGTAACCTTCGATCAACACATGTCCATGGATAAACATATTACCAACATTTGCAAGAACTGTTTTTCCATTTGAGAAAAATAGCAAGAATAAAAGAGTACTTATCAAAATCAGATATCCAAACCCTAGTTCATGCCTTTATTACATCGAAACTAGATAATTGCAACTCTTTGCTATACGGACTACCTAAATTTTTTATAGATCGATTACAGAATGTGCAAAACTGTGCTGCTCGTCTGGTGACAGGAAGCAGAAAATACGACCATGTTACTCCATTAATGAAACAATTACATTGGCTCCCCATCAGTCAACGCATCATCTATAAAATTGTTCTTATCACGTATAAATCTCTGAATGGCTCAGCTCCACATTACATTTATAATATGCTAAAACCTTACACACCATCAGCAAATCTACGCTCCTCATCCAAAGGATTGCTTACCATACCTTCAGTGAAACTAGTGAACTATGGTGAACGATCGTTCTCATATGCTGCACCGAAACTGTGGAACGAACTGCCAGAGTATATTAGAAAGAGTGAGACCTTGCCTATTTTTAAAACCAGATTAAAGACACATCTTTTTAAACAGTATTATGACTAAGTTATTATTTTAACAAGATTATTATCAATTTTATAGTATTCTATATAGTTGTTGTTTTAATATTATCAACATACATAAGATGAAGTAATTTTATATTCTTAACGAGAAGAGCATATAATTATTTTTTAGTAATTTTATAGTATAGTAATTTTAGTAGTCAATGCATGCACTATGTTCTAACACTTAGTATATATTTTTAACACTTGATGTTAAGCGCTATTGAGCTATGGGAAATGGCGCTATATAAATGAATTATAATAATAATAATAATAATAATAATATCCGCGTTTTACCCGATCGGGTAAAACGCAGATATGGTGTAAAATATGCTTTTCGGCTCTTTAAAAGGCATATCCGCGTTTTACCCGATCGGGTAAAACGCGGATATGGTGTAAAATATGCTTTTCGGCTCTTTAACAGGCATATCCGCGTTTTACCCGATCGGGTAAAACGCGGATATGGTGTAAAATATGCTTTTCGGCTCTTTAAAAGGCATATCCGCGTTTTACCCGATCGGGTAAAACGCGGATATGGTGTAAAATATGCTTTTCGGCTCTTTAAAAGGCATATCCGCGTTTTACCCGATCGGGTAAAACGCGGATATGGTGTAAAATATGCTTTTCGGCTCTTTCAAAGGCATATCCGCGTTTTACCCGATGGGGTAAAACGCGGATATGGTGTAAAATATGCTTTTCGGCTCTTTAAAAGGCATATCCGCGTTTTACCCGATCGGGTAAAACGCGAATATGGTGTAAAATATGCTTTTCGGCTTTTTCAAAGGCATATCCGCGTTTTACCCGATCGGGTAAAACGCGGATATGGTGTAAAATATGCTTTTCGGCTCTTTCAAAGGCATATCCGCGTTTTACCCGAACGGGTAAAACGCGGATATGGTGTAAAATGCTCTCGCGTATTTAGTATAAAATATATTAATATCATGCGATGTTTCGCCCCGCTCCTGACACCGTGACAGGTACAAGTGGAGCGAACTTTGAAGTTTGAACAATTGAATTCGCTGCAAACTGTATTTTTTCAGTGTAGTCAATCAGCTCAATGAAATGTCGTTGTTTGTGAGTTTGAAAAATTGTAATCAATCAAAAAATCTTGAAACCATAGATGTTTCAGGTTTATCGCAGTATTCGTATATCCATCACTGGTTGATAAAGATGAAATTGGCGACGGCGGGTTTGCTGTTCATGTTATGTTTATATATACAGCGATGCTCCCGGGTGAACTAGTCGCCTCCGCAGGCAACTATGATGGTATTCAAAAGGCAAATTTCATGTATAATGTTGTAATAATCAATGCCGACAATGGCCGTTTTTATACTAGAGACGCATTATGCGTCTGGACGAACTTGGGCAAGCATTTGTTGTTCGTCTGGTTATGCGTCCTTAGTATAAAGACGGGCACAAGACACATTATGCGTTTAGACGAACCAGTATGTTCGATTCTTCGTCTTAAGAGACGCACAGCCGATGATAGTTCGTCTAGACGCATAATGCGTCTTGTGCCCGTCTTTATACTGAGGACGCATAACCAGACGAACAATAAATGTTGATAGTTCGTCGCATTGGCCGTTTTTATACTACACTAGAGACGCATTATGCGTCTGGACGCATAATCCGTCTTCTACATTATTCGTCTAGTATTATTCGTCCCGTCTTTATACTAGACGAATAAATTAATGTAGAAGACGGATTATGCGTCTGTACGTCTCTAGTATAAAAACGGCCAATGCGTTGAATCCCAGCGCCAAAATGCGTATATAATTTATACGACAATACAGAAAAATACAGCCATATTTCAAATATTACGAAAATTCAAAGCAAACTTTGGCCGCAGCTATAATTGAAAGAGCCAAAGAGGGGATTATATAGGGATTCGAAGTTTGGGAAGGCGGAATATGGGGGATATCCCCACTAGCCCATCCTGTGCGGGCATAGTTTGTTTTGAATTTTCGTATAAATTGAAATATGGCTGTATTTTTCTGTGTTGCCGTATAAATTATACGCCTAATTTTGGCACTGGGATTCAACGCATGACGGCATTGATTATTACAATCATATACCTGAATTTTGCCGTTTGAATACCATCATAGTGACCTGCGGAGGAGCCTACGGGTGAACATGAAAATATTGTAGTTAAAAAACTTCTGGACTCGAGTCTTGAAGCAAGAAAATTGATACTGAGAGAAGTACGACTTATTAATCAATTAAATCATGCAAACATCGTCGAAATTAAAGGAATTTGCCCTGACCGATATCAGCGATATGCACTTCTGATGGAATATGTCTATTTCGATTTTAGGCCCATCGGACACGATTTAATTGTACACAACCTAATATGCGGCGGATATGCCTTCTAAAGAGCCGAAAAGCATATTTTACACCATATCCGCGTTTTACCCGATCGGGTAAAACGCGGATATGCCTTTTAATGAGCCGAAAAGCATATTTTACACCATATCCGCGTTTTACCCGATCGGGTAAAACGCGGATATGCCTTTTAAAGAGCCGAAAAGCATATTTTACACCATATCCGCGTTTTACCCGATCGGGTAAAACGCGGATATGCCTTTGAAAGAGCCGAAAAGTATATTTTACACCATATCCGCATTTTACCCGATGGGGTAAAACGCGGATATGATGTTTAAAACATTTTTTAGAGAAAAATAGGTCATCCGTCCGTCCGTCCGTCCGTCCGTCCGTCCGCCCGTCCGCCCGTCCGTCCGTCCGTCCGTCCGTATCAGCGTTTTACCCTAACCCCTGTGGAAATGGCCTGACAAAAACCTCCAGCAAACCCGTCGAAAAGTGGGAATTATCTTGTCGACAAGAAGGCGCTTGGCATCGACTGAAAGCATAAGAAGATTTGAATTCTCTACTTTGCCAACTAATTTGGTCGTCTGGCTCGTCATCATCAGAGTCATAAATATTAATGACCCTTGTGAAAACGCGTGTCTTCGTGTTTCTGTTTAGCCACGAGCTTGTAGTATGTTTCCAGTCGATGCCAACCGCCTTCTTGTCGACAAGATAATTCCCACTTTTCGACGGGTTTGCTGGAGGTTTTTCTCCGGCCATTTCCACAGGAACATTTGTGACTAAAAGCCTAAATCGTTCGTCGCTGCTAAGCTCCTTTTGAAGGAGCAAATCCGCCATTTTGTCGAAGTTGGGGAGTTGGTATATTACAGACACCGATGTCGCACGCAATGGTCGCACGTCGCTTATATTTTGAGTTCTGCGCATAGCAAGCGCGCACGACCACAATGCAATGCGTTAAAATAAAATTTACTTTAAAAAAACCCTCTCCGCGCAAATTAGAATGCTGTTTCGCTCGCTCGCTTCAGGCTCGCTCGCTTCAGGCTCGCTCGCTACGCAGCAACAGTAAGTATACCTCCAAAATTCGTAGAAAACCAAACTGAAAATGATTTGCCCAGGAAAACTAGCCGCCTTTCACCAAATAAAAAGTCTAACTAGCCAAGTCACAAAATTGTTCCAACCAAGTTTAAATCCACAACACATATCTGAACCTTCTATATTGTTTGGCAGTTTTCTCTGACTGCGAGAGGTCCCTCCTTTCCGCGGGTTTAGATTTTCGGACAATGTGTTGTCGGCATACCTCCTTGGCTAAGAGTAACCGGTAATTAAAGGAAACCTTAATTACAATGCGTAAAACGGTAAGCTGTAAAACATGGAATCTGGAATCTTGGAATCTTATCATTTAACCGCAAAATATGTTATTATTAAGATATAATTATTATACTTATGCAACATATTGTTCTGCATGCGATAATTTAATACTTGGTGAGTTAGCTGAAGTAGACCTTGGTAATATATTATCAGTATATACTATACGTTGCAGAATTTAATATGTCCATCTTGATGCCAATACATAGTAATGTAAACGCTGGGCGCGCATCTAAATAATATCGTCGGTTTATGATGAGAGCTAAAATCGAGTGCGTAGCAAGATTACCAAGCGGGAGGCAACTAAAGGAACATATACATTATATAGCTTTGCAATCAGGAAAACCTCAATTAGATGCACTATAACACCTCGTATTCCGTCAAAAAATACCACACTTGCGAACAATTGCCGAGTTCATATAGTCTATATTCAACGCATAAGGTTATATTATATATAGCACGTGGTTAATGAGGCTCATACTATGTGAGTTATATGGCACCATTAGCACGTGGTAGTATAACCTTAATTCGTTGAATATAGACTATATGAACTCGGCAATTGTTCGCAAGTGTGGTATTTTAACTATTTTTTGACGGAATACGAGGTGTTATAGTGCATCTAATTGAGGTTTTCCTGATTGCATGCAATGACATGTAATGTATATGGTTTCTTTAGTTGCCTCCCGTCTGGTTATCTTGCTACGCACTTGATTTTAGCTCTCATTATAAACCGACGATATTATTTAGATGCGCGCACAGCGTTTATATTAGTTTGATAGTTTGGGTCTGCTTCTGTAGTTAAGTATTAAATTATCAAATGCAGAACAATATGTTGCATAAGTATAATAATATCTTGATAATAGCATATTATGCGGTTATATGATAAGATTCCAGGATTCCAAGATTCAAGATTCCATGTAACCTTATCATATAACCGCAGAATATGTTATTATCAAGATATTATTATTATACTTATGCAACATATTGTTCTGTATGCGATAATTTAATAATTAGCTACAGAAGCAGACCTTGGTAATACATTATCAGTACAGTATATACTATACGTTGCAGAATTTAATTAATATCTCCGTCTTGATGCCAATGTAATAATATATAAACGCTGTGCGCGCATCTAAATAATATCGTCGATTTATGAGTGCGTAGCAAGATGACCAGGCCGGTCCAGGCGGGAGGCAACTAAAGAAACCACATACATTATATATATATCATTGCAATCAGGAAAACCTCAATTAGATGCACTATAACACCTCGTATTCCGTCAAAAAATCACCACACTTGCGAACAATTGCCGTGTTCATATAGTCTATATTCAACGAATTAAGGTTATGTCTTATGTTATAAGACAATAAGCCACTTTGACTCCTCCTCTACAGTCTACACTAGTATTAAAGTTCTATATTATTGATGATCGATTTCATGTATGGGTGCATTCTATGCTTGAATTTCGCCGAAAAAGCGCTAGATTGCCGCTACAACATTGCCAGTTGAAAAACCACGTGCTATATAACTCACATAGCACGACTATAATGAGCCTGATTAACCACGTACTATATAACCTTAATTCGTTGAATATTGGCTATATGAACACGGCAATTGTTCGCAAGTGTGGTATTTTTTGGCAGAATACGAGGTGTTATAGTGCATCTAATTGAGGTTTTCCTGATTGCAATTTATATATATATATATATATATATATATATATATATATATATATATATATATATATATATATATATATATATATATATATATATATATATATATATATATATATATATATATAATATCAAAAAAGATTTGTGTTCCATTTTCAACAAATACGGACTTAAAATCACAATTGAAGCTAACAAGAAAATAGTCAATTTTCTTGACGTTACCCTTAATTTGTCAACCGGGAAATATCAACCATACGCCAAACCTAATAATATACCCCTTTACGTGCACAAGAAATCTAATCACCCGCCTAATATCCTGCGCAATATCCCACTGTCTATCAACAAACGCCTAACTGAAATATTTATTTATTTATTTAACTTCGCCATTATCATGCATGCATTCATGGCAGGGTCACCACAACAGTATATGTTACCAATTACTGTGGGCCCTTTAAATTTTAAATAGATAATAAAACACAAATAAAATACAACGAAAACTTCGATTTACCTGATCAAAGTCATCACACGAATTGGAACTTGAAGCCAAGCAAACAAATTCCTCGAAGTTTTCGTTGTATTGTATTTCATAAACATACTTAATTAGCTGCTTGCAAATTTTATAAAACATATAACAATTCATAGAATATAAAATAGCTATTGAAACTTAATAAACAAGGTCATCCGATGAGGAATCATTTCAACAAGCCTCGCAACAATACCAGCAAGAACTTCAGAATAGTGGTTATAAACACCAGTTAAAGTACAAGCACCCACTTAATCATACAACCCCTCGAACCCGAAATCGAAGACGTAATATCATTTGGTACAATCCACCATTTAGTAAAAATGTATCAACAAATATTGGACAAACATTTTTGAATATCATCGATGATGAATTCCCGATAGGCCACCCCCTACACAAAATATTCAACCGCAACACTGTTAAAATAAGCTACAGTTGCATGCCTAATATCAAACAAACCATCGACGGACACAACAAGACCAAACTGTCACAAACCGCCACAACGAGCGAAGAAAGCACATGTAACTGTAGAAAGAAAGAGGAGTGCCCAATGTCCAAAAAGTGTTTGGTCGAATCTATTGTATATCAAGCTACAGTTTCTACCAACGACAATAGTCCACCTCAAACATACGTTGGTCTGACCGAAAACGCTTTTAAAACTAGATATTACAACCACAAAACCTCATTTACTACAGTATGTACGAGAAAAGGAACTCCACTGAACTTAGTAAATATGTCTGGCAGTTAAAGCGCAAAGGAATTGAATTTCATATCAAATGGCAAACCTTGAAACGGGCCAAACCCAACAGCCCTGCTTCTAATAGATGTAATCTGTGCCTGTGGGAAAAATACTTTATTATATGTAAACCTGAACTGGCTACTTTGAACAAACGTAATGAATTAGTGTCTTCATGCAGACATGCGAAAAAATTTCTTTTAGCTAACATTTAAAGGGCATGCACTCGAGA